TTAGTTTTGCTTGTGACATTGTAAAATGACAGTTTATCATAAAAAGATATGAGGGGGTTGTAATTTAATCTTTTAAATATAAATGTATTTGTGTATATTTAAAATAAAACAATTTTATTTATTAATTTAAAAGGAAATTGAATGTCCAACAGAATGAACCCCAGACTTTCCTCTGCCCAGACATTTTCTACAGCTCCTCTAGATGGATCCCAAAGTGTTCCCAGACAAGCATACAGACATAGTCTCCTCAAGTATATTACCTCTAGTATGTTCTGGAGGAACACTTACCCAGGAAGGTGTCTATGAGGCATCAGAAAAAGATGTCAGAGCCACCTTAGCTGGCTTTTCTCATTTGGTGAAGAAGAAGCAGCTCTTCCCCGTGAGTGACAGAATTCCTGAACCCTGCAAAAGAAGCTCATTTCAGCTACTTGTAATCAAGATTCATGACAATAAGTGAGAGTAGTAATGTAGATTTGTAAGATTTTCTAAGATACCTGAACTGCTGGGGGCGAGGCAGTGGCGCAGTAGGTAGTGCTGTCGCCTCACAGCAAGAAGGTCGCCGGTTCAAACCTCGGCTCGGTTGGCGTTTCTGTGTGGAGTTCTCCCTGCCTTCGCGTGGGCTTCCTCCGGGTGATCTGGTTTCCCCCACAGTCCAAAGACATGCGGTACAGGTGAATTGGGTAGGCTAAATTGTCCGTAGTGTGTGTGAATGTGTGTGTGGATGTTTCCCTGAGAGGGGTTGCGGCTGGAAGGGCATCCACTGCGTAAAAAAGTGCTGGATAAGTTGGCGGTTCATTCCGCTGTGGCAACCCCGGATTAATAAAGGGACTAAGCCGGAGACGACCTAACCTGGAGATGACAAGCCGCCTTTTTCCAGTCAAGCACCATGGCCTCGGTGCTGATTCTAATCCCTGCTGCGTCACACTTGGCAGCAAACCATCCCAGCGCACGCTGCAGATCCTGATCTGATAAAGCCAACAGGACATCTGCATTAAATTCCATGGTCTCCAATCCAGACCACTTCTTCCCTATAGCTGCAAACTTCTGGTCCGGTCATACAGAGATCAGATCAGACCTGTGGACTGGACAGGCAAATCCTCAAGCACACAAGAGAAGGTATAGAACTTTCCAGGCCTGGTAGGACTCCTCCTTCATCTTGATGGCATCTATTACTTCCGGAGTCCACCACACAGTTCATGGGTTGCCCCCACAATAGACACTAGAGCGAATGCCCTTCAAGCTGCAACCCAGTACTGAGAAACATCCATAATCTCTCACACACACACTCATACACTACGGCTAAATTTATTTACTCAATTCACCTATACCACTACCACTGAGCCACCATGCCACTTGTTAATACCTAATGTAATATATTATTCTAAATCATTTAAATTGTTTTTCTTTTATTTAGGTGATTGAAAACAGGGATGTTTTGACAAATAAGGAGTTGGGTTAACAGCAAAAGTGCTTCAGTGACACTTCTTGAGCTTATAATTTATCACATTACAAACACATCAATCATTCTCAAAAAATGACAAGTTTTCCATGTTTACAGCATTGCATTTTTTACAAAGATAACGCTGTGTGTCTACATTCTCACTATTTTACAGTATAGAAATGTAAGACACCAAATGGATGTAGCAACATTGTTGTGTGACATTCACAACATGACATACTAGACCATTTTTTTTTGGTGTTTGCTTGTAAATATAGCCTTTTTTCTGCTTATTTTCTATTAATAGTATTTTTTTAATGTAATATTAACTATTGCCTATTATCTGCTTGATTAAAATGAAATAAAAAAAGAAAAGGAATACATGATCTAACTTTATTTTAAACAAAATAATATACAATGGATTTGTTTTAGTATTATGAAAAGGTGCAAATTTAAGATATAACATTATGAAGTAAGTGATTTAGTTTTAAATGACAAATGTCAGGCATAGGCTTTGTGTAACAGGATATTGCTCCTGCTCAAGTTTTCTGCATTCCTAACAGAGCCACACTGCTGCAGACCAGGCTTTCTCCTGACTAGATAAAGGACTAAGTTGGCAGCATAAGTTAGCTTTCTAAGCTACTCCTCGGCCACATCGAGATCAAAACAGGGAAAAAAAATATATTTCACCCGACAGGACACGTATTTCCATGTGTTGATCCTTCCTCGACATGTTGCTTTTATAAGGGTCAGGTCGGCAGTACAAAAATCTTACTTTATGGACTTGCTCTGTCTTCACAGGTCTTCATCAAGGACGTGGAGGGTGCTCTCTCAACTCAATGTATGGTGAGAAACCGCATCACAATTATCTTGGTAACTCAAATTTTGGGTCAGTCGGATCAACTGGAGGTGCACAGGGACATGATGCTTTCACATTTCAGTCAATTGTGGATTTGGGTCAATAAATAGACGAGAAAGCTCCGTCCGTATAGAGCATCTATTTTCTCTGGGTTGAGCTGGATTCCATGATTATGCGTTTCACTATCAAAAGCTTAGTGCTCGAAATTTAATTTAAAAGAAAAACAGTGGTCCCACTAAAACTATTTCAGAGGCTCTCATATGATATCTCAAGCCAATTTCACACTGCTGGGATTGCTGCATATGAGATCTCTTCAGACATGAAATAAAATGTGTGTGAAGGGAAAAACATTCCCTGAGTAGATTAAGTCTCTGAATGATCTCAGCAGCTAAACATAACCTCTAAAATGTCTGCATAAACTCACACAGCTTGCAGTCTTTCAATCACAAACAAACAAACACACACACACACACACACACACACACACACACACGAGTATATCAATTAAAATAAACACTGGAACATAAAACACAAAAGTCTTATATGTTTAGGAACAGGATCCAGTAGGATCCCATTAAAATTAAGCCATTTCATGGTGTAAAACTCGACTATGTAGGTTAACACTTTTTAAAAACACGCAAACAAAAAATACCGGCATCACATACTTTTAAATAAATTAACTTTAATTTTATCATATATTATAATTTTAATCAAATTAACTGACTTACAACTAGGAGAGAACCCACTGATATGGTTTTAAAGCATGTCATGTTTACAGAATAAAGAACTATTTAAATCCATTCATTCAGAAAATTCCTAAACCTTTTGTACCTTCACCACACATTACAGATACAGATGTACACACATGAACATTTTTTACATGTTTAAAGTATTACGAATGAATAAATCTATTTTATAAACTCGATTTAACTTTATATACATTACCAACTTTACACAACTTTTTTAAGTCACAGAAACCTTACTATAGGCTGCTACAACTAATTATATTACGTTGTCTGATCCAATTTTGTATTATAATTTTTTTCATTTACAAAAACATTAAATTAAATTGCAGTGGTCTTTGTAGGCTATGCATATAAACAGTGCATATTAACCATATACAGTTGAAGTCAGAATTATTAGCCCCCTTTTGTTTTGTTTTTTTCTTTCTTTTTTTAAATATTTTACAAATGATGTTTAACAGAGCAAGAACATTTTTAGAGTATGTCTTATAATATTTTTTTCCTCTGGAGAAAGTCTTATTTCAGCTAGAATGAAAACAGTTTTTCATTTTTTAAAAAACATTTTAGGGTCAAAATTATTAGCCCCCAAGCTATATATTTTCTCAATAGTCTACAAACCATCCTTATACAATAACTTGCCTAGTTACCCCAACCTGCCTAGTTAACCTAATTAACCTTAAGCTTTTAAATGTCACTTTAAGCTTTTATAGAAGTGTCTTGAAAAATATCTAGTAAAAAAATTATGCACTGTCATCATGTTAAAGATAAAATAAACCAGTTATTATAAATTAGCTATTAAACTACTATGTTTAGAAATCTGTTAAACAGAAATTGGGGAAAAAATAAACATGGGGCTGTTTATTTAAGGGGGCTAATAATTCTGACTTCAACTGTGTATGAATAACTAATACCATAGTGTATTATTCACGCCCGTTGCCAGCAAGGTGAAAAGGGTGGTTCTTTTTAGTCAAATAGTGGACCATTCTGCAGTTAAAAATACTGCATTTTAGTGACATCTTAAGCACTATTTTTAGCTGGATTAGCTTGTCGGATTTCATCACAATCACACTTTTTAATGTATCAAAAATATACACAAATAAACACAAATTTATTACTTTTTATACCATTAGAAAAAAAGAGTTAAAGTTTTAAATAAAAAACTTTTTGTTACAAAAAAATACATTTTGAAAAATCATGAATAACAAATATAGCCTAATTAGTATTAAAATTAACTTTATTATAGGCCACTATTTATTGTTTTTCTTGTTTTTGTTTTTCAAGAAAGTCCAAGATTCACAACAAAAATTGGTCTACTTGTAGTGAAAGATGACTTCACCTTTGTCATATTGTATGATTTCCTGCACGTGGATGGACTAGTGAAAAATGTTTGTTTTCATTGGAAGCCTTCTTTGATGGGTTATTTTTACAATTTGTGATGGCATAGCAGTCAAGATAAGGTAAATGAGCCCCTCTACATTTTCCTCCCCCTACTGGTCAAATCGGAAACAACAGGGGTGCTTGAATCGAAGATCTGCCGAGAAGCCGAGTAGCACTTCTAGTATGTGCACGCGAAGGGGAGTGCGATTTGTCCGGGAGTACCAACAACACCAGAACAGGAACCACATCGATTGGGTACGAAACTACACGTTAAGTTGTCTTTTAATGATATCCCTATTTACTGAAATCTAACGCTGTCAAGTTAATATTTCTACAAGTTATCTTTGTCATGGTGGTGGGCTTGTTTTGCAGTTGTTTTGATCTGATCCCCAACAAAACAAAACAAAACAGCACGTTAAACTACGATTTTAAAGTTTATCGGAATAGAATGAATTTAGATAACTTAAATATGCTTTGACTCCAGAAAGTGTTACGCAATACCTTGCTGTAAGGACATAAACATGCGTGTCAAAGGTAACGTTAATGTTTCGTCATCAGCATAGCCCCTTGCTGAACTGCAGATATTCATTCATTACTGCGGGCGACGACGACAAATTATGTAGTTTTACCACTCATTTCGTCAAGGTCACATTTGGACTTAACTTACTGGATACATTTTGCTGTTTAAAACCCGTCTGGGTTTTACAAAAAAGTCGCGTGGTATGTTACTTTTCTTTTAAAACACGCTATGTTGTAAAGTTTGGAGAAGTGAAATAACACATTTGTGCAACTTTTGTTCTTTTCAGGAATATTTATGGTGGCTTGAAAAGCCAACATACTGTTATCTCACGTAAACTTATTATTATTCTTCTTCTTCTTCTTATTCTTCTGAGACTAATTTTAAAGTGCATCTCCTCTTAAACTTTTCAAGCTTCATACTTCAAACTTTCGTCAAACCTTCAAACTGGTCTGACTCGGGTTGCTATATCTTTTCCGACTGATCCGACTTTCAGTTTTCCGAAAAACGACCCGGAAAATTCCCAAAATTCCCATTGACTTAACATTGGGTCAAACTTTGTGACCTTATAACTCTGCATCAGACTGTCCTACAGACTTCTAACTGGGCTCATTTAACTCAGTCTAGCCAGCAGCCAATAACTGATGACCTTTTAACTTACTAGCCACTCCCTAGCAACCACTTTTGGCACCCTAGCAACTGTCCCATAGACTTCCATTGTAAAAGACTGCCATTGACTTAACATTGAGTCAACCTTTGTGAGCTCATAACTCTGCATCAGTCTGTCCTACAGACTAGAGTCAGGCCTCATTCAACTCAGTAGCAATCACTGATGACCTTTAGACTTACTAGCCACTCCCTAGCAACCACTTATGGCACCCTAGCAACTGTCCCGTAGACTTCCATTGTAAAAGACTCTCATTGACTTAACATGGGATCAAACTTTGTGAGCTCATAACTCTGCATCAGACTGTCATACAGACTAATGGCTGAGCTCATTTAACTCAGACTACCAAACTGCCAATAAATGATTAGCTTTTAACTTTCTAGTCACACCCCTAACTACCACATACTGCACCCTAGCAACTGTCCCGTAGACTTCCATTACAAAAGACTCTCATTGACTTAACATGGGATCAAACTTTGTGAGCTCATAACTCTGCATCAGACTGTCATACAGACTAATGGCTGAGCTCATTTAACTCAGACTACCAAACTGCCAATAACTGATGAGCTTTTAACTTTCTAGCCACACCCCTAACTACCACATACTGCACCCTAGCAACTGTCCCGTAGACTTCCATTAAAATAGGCCAAGATGCATATCTTTGCATAGCAGTGTCATAGAGACATGGGGGTTGGTTCATTTGACTAAGACAACCAACCACATTCAAGTTCACTCTGCAACCTCGCCCATAGCAACAAAACAGAGTACCCTAGCAACCATTCATCAACAGCTATATCTCAGCATCAGAACATCGTAGAGACTTGGAGATTGGCTCGTTTGACTCATGCTAGCAAACGGAACATCCTATATGCTACACATGCTAGCAGTGACTAGCTACATGCTAATATTGACTAGCCAAGTACTGTAACTTGCTAGACATGCTTACTAAGTATAAATGTTTTATCAAGCATGTATGTGAGGCTTGCCTAGTAACCAACCAGGGTACCCTAGCAACTGCCTAGCAACCACCCAAATTACCCTAGCAACCGCCTAGCAACCACCTAGCAACGGCCTATTAATACCTTAGTAAGGGCCTAGCGACCACTCAGGACACCCTAGCAACCGCCTAGCAACGCCTTAGCAACCACTCAGAATACCTTAGCAACCACCTAGCAACACCTTAGCAACCACCTAGCAACCACTTGGGACACCTTAGCAACCGCCTAGCAACACCTTAGCAACCACCTAGCAACCACTCAGAACACCCTAGCAACTGCCTAGCAACACCTTAGCAACCACCTAGCAACCACTCAGGACACCCTAGCAACCGCCTAGCAACGCCTTAGCAACCACTCAGAATACCCTAGCAACCATCTAGCAACCACTTAGGACACCTTAGCAACCACCTAGCAACACCTTAGGAACCACCTAGCAACCACTCAGAACACCCTAGCAACCACCTAGCAACACCTTAGCAACCACCTAGCAACCACTTAGGACACCCTAGCAACCGCCTAGCAACACCTTAGCAACCACCTAGCAACACCTTAGCAACCACCTAGCAACACCTTAGGACACCTTAGCAACCACCTAGCAACACCTTAGCAACCACCTGGCAACCACTCAGAACACCCTAGCAACCGCCTAGCAACACCTTAGCAACCACCTAGCAACCACTTGGGACACCATAGCAACCGCTTAGCAACACCTTAGCAACCACCTAGCAACCACTTAGGACACCTTAGCAACCACCTAGCAACACCTTAGCAACCACCTAGCAACCACTCAGAACACCCTAGCAACTGCCTAGCAACACCTTAGCAACCACCTAGCAACCACTCAGGACACCCTAGCAACCACCTAGCAACACCTTAGCAAACACCTAGCAACCACTAAGGACACCCTAGAAACCACCTAGCAACGCCTTAGCAACCACTCAGAATACCCTAGCAACCACCTAGCAACCACTTAGGACACCTTAGCAACCACCTAGCAACACCTTAGCAACCACTCAGAACACCCTAGCAACCGCCTAGAAACATCTTAGCAACCACCTAGCAACCACTCAGAAAACCCCTAGCGACCACCTTGCAACACCTTAGTAACCACTTAGCAACTAGTCAGAACACCTTAGCAACTGCCTAGCACCACCTTAGCAACCACTCAAACACCCTAGCTACTGTCTAGCAACACCTTAGCAACCACCTAGCAACTAGTCAGACCACCTTAGCAACTGCCTTGCACCACCTTAGCAACCACCTAGCAACCACTTAAAAAACCCTAAAATGCTAATTCATGCTAGAATCATGCTAACAACATGCTAATTCATGCTAGAATCATGCTAGTAACATGCTAATTTATGCTAGAATCATGCCAACAACATGCTAAGTCATGCTAGAATCATGCTAGTAACATGCTAATTCATGCTAGAATCATGCTAACAACATGCTAATTCATGTAAGAATCATGCTACTAACATGCTAATTCATGCTAGAATTATCCTAGTAGCATGCTAATTCATGCTAGAATCATGCTAGTAACATGCTAATTCATGCTAGAATCACGCTAACAACATACTAATTCATGCTAGAATCATGCTAGTAACATGCTAATTCATGCTAGAATCATGCTAACAACATCCTAATTCATGTAAGAATCATGCTACTAACATGCTAATTCATGCTAGTAATATGTTAACTCAAGCTAAAATCATACTAACATTCTATTTACACTTTAAAACCACTTCAAACTTTGAGATTCGGCTTTTCAAGCCACCATAAAGTTTGTCCTCAAACTTTAATATCTAGTTTGATTTACTGTAATCAATTTATTATCACAAATGAAACGCTGGTCTACTCTTATCGGACGTGTCATCATGCTAGCACCAGTTAGGTAATGTACAAATATTTCTTTTATGTTTCTTACAAAGAGTAATAAAAATTCATTTTTTTCTGTTACAGAATCATAAATTGCCTTTCTGTCATTTAATTGTTATTGCCTTATTTATTTATTTATTTATTTATTTATTTTTTGATGACAGTTACCAGTATAGTTTGTGACTAACACAAAAAAATGTGCCATTTTGATGGAAAGCTTGTGGATTTTGCCTTTCAACTCCACGACATTGAAGACTAGACAGTAATGTGTAATAGCCACTGAATAGCTGTTAGTGTGTCAGCTTCAAAAAGAACACAAAAGGATAGCCACAGATGTTTCAGGAAAGTGGCCTGCCTTGCCTACATATGACTTCTGAAGCAAGGTTAGTGAGTGAAAAACAAATAAAAGTTGTTGATTTATTCAATGAAAATCCTTGTGTTGGCGTGCTCTTGGGTAGGCATGGGACGATAACTGTTTTCAATGTATAGACCATTTCAATGTGGTCATGTCATTGGCCCATGAACATTTCCTGCTTGTTATCAAACTATTTCATATCTGTATCAAGAGGCAATTCAATCATAACTTAATGTTAAAACAACCATCATAAAATATTTTATCAATATGTGGATATGTTTTATTATGATAATTATTTATTAATATTTATCAATATATATAATTTTGAGTTATCGGATTCAGAAGCTATATAAATAAAAATGTAAAACAGGAAATATTTTGGGACTAAAGTTTGTTTACATCTTTCAAAATAGTGTATAGCGTGGTTTGAAAAAAGTCAAGGTTTTAAAACCACTAAAATGTTCTGCTATACTGTTCCTACTGTATATGTAAGTTTTTTTTTTTTTTTTTTACGTTTTGTATTAGTTTTTTAGGACAACAGCATCTCCAGCAAAAAAAGATATCCAAAGATGCCATTTTAAATTGTAAAGAAATTTGTGTTTTTGAAATAAAAGAAGACAAGATTTTGAAATAAGCAGAAGTCAAGGATTTATTTGAATTATATAGCCTGACATGTTTACTGCTCTAAAACATTTTCAAAGTTTCTTTAAAAAAATGTTTTGCGTTTAAAGGGGGAAAAAGTTTTTATTGTTTTTTTTTTTACTCAGACATTTAAAAAGATTATATTTTAAAGCAGTAATCACAATACCTCGAAACCATGATATTTTTTATTATAATATCAGAATCATATACCGACCCATGCCTACTCCTGAGGAAATGTCTGATTTGTCATATGGAACTTTTCATTGAATTATTTGGTATGTGAATCAATAATTCAGTCACAAATCACTTGCTTTCTGTTTGTACATTTTAAATATTTTTTTTATTTAAGGGTTCATTTAAAAATGTCTTAAAGTTAGTTTTGAGTTATATTAAAAACATATTAGCCATAAATAGAAACCAATATGTAAATGGAAGTGTATTCCATGCATAATAGGGAAAACACGACTTGCAAACAAGACGTTACTGTCTCTCATTTATCTGTCTGTAGAACTGTGAGCACTGAAAGTAGGAGATGTCCTATGTTAACTGTTCAGCCATGTCGAGGAATGGTGGACGAGAAGTTTCAAGTAATCATAAAGAATTTACTGCCAAATCAAGAGGTAACGCTACACTCTCTACATCAGTCTGAAGATAAGGACTTCTGGGAGGCTTTTGGACACTATATCAGTGATGAACATGGAACAGTGACAGGTGTGTAGAACAACCTGATGCATGACTCTTTAAAATTTAAACACTGTAAACCAACTCCAAGAAAAAAAAAGTCTCATTGGAAAAACTCTGATCTGTACAACACTTCACACCTTTCTCTTTCAAAACCTCATCCACTTACCACTCTATCTTAGATTGTTTCCATTCGTTGCTTATATAAAAATGGCTCATTTTGTACAGTTGGTACATAATTGGCTCATATTCTGCACAGCAGATGATGATAAAGAACTTGCTTTGACAAACTAAAGGTAATATTAACTTAATTTTAGCTGAATGTTTCAGCTGGGTACCAAAATGTACAATCCATCCGTCCATCCATTACTAAGAATCAAACTTTAATAACCTAAAACAATGGTGCAGAATCCATGTATGACATCATGACTACATATTGTATCCATACTGTATCCTATTTAAATAATGGCACAAGCTTACATTATGAAAAATAACCGGTTTGACTAATTAAAGATCATATTAAAGTAACTTTAGATGGATTTTCCAGCTGGACACTTAAATGTATAATGAATGACATTTGTATGTATCCTGTTGTAATAGTGGCAAAAGATGAAAGTTTGGGAGGCACGTATGAAGGGACAGAGCAGATGGGTTTGCTGTGGAGCTTGAGGCCTGTACCAGGAAGTCGATCTGCACTCAGGTAAGTTACCGTAGTATTATGGTGTATTTTCTGTAGTCTGTTTTACAAAATTTAAATACCTTCTTTTGCAAAAAGCGAGGTCATTATTTTTATTTATTCCTACACTTTTTTATTATTCAAGGTTACGCAAGATGAATGTACTCACGCCAATGGTAGTTAACATATCAGTCTACAATGGGCATCTGTCTCAAGGATTCAGTCAGACCTCAGCGCTGGCCACGACTGTCACAGAGCGCTGGTACATGGCACCAGGTGTACAGAGGGTGGACATAAGAGAGAACGGAGTTCGAGGAACTTTATTTCTTCCCCCAGGTAAAATACTATTCATACATATATAAATGTAAACATGTCTCCTCTAAGATGTAAGATTTTTATTTTTTTGGTGATCGTCAAAAAAGGCAAAATTGTCAGAGTGAAAAATGTTGGTTGGGTTTTGAACTAAAACCCAGACTTTTTTTTGTGCCACTTAAATGATTAAGAGCTGTCAATTGATATAAGAGGTGTGTGTGTGTTTAAAGGATTGATTCATTATTCCAGTGATTTTTTTTTTGCATGATAAACAGTGACTTGAAATTGCAAATTAACTTTTTATATAAATGTATTTTTTAAAATTTATATATATATATGTATTTTTTTTATTCTTAAATTTATTTGTTTTATAGATTATTTCATCATTTCTGATTTGTAATATAGTTTAGTCAGTTAATACAAATTATTAACTGACAACAAAGTATAGTCAGTTAAATAAGAATTTATCACCAGATGAAGATTAACACTGGTAACTGGGAGGATGTGAAAAAGTGTCTAACTTTGATCAGTGTAGATATCAAATATCTCATTTAAAGGGCACCTATGATGAAAAGCATCTTTTGTAAGCTGTTCGGACAGAACTGTGTGTGGATATATTCTGTCCACTGTCATTCTGGAATGATATAAACACAACAAGTATCTTTATTATTCAAAATGTCCTGATGTTAAAATAGGATCCAAATCCCAGTGATTTTGAGTCCACTGCAACGTGACGTTTGAAGGAGGTTTTCCCTGCCCACCAAATTGATTGACAGGGGCCATATCTTCATAATAACATGTGTACACATGTCCACTTGCAAAGAAACTGGTATTAAAACATGTTACAACTCTCTGTGATCAGCTTCACCTAAATAATAAATTTTATTTTTAAAATGTTTTAAAACGGAGCATGTTTGTAATAAAGTAAATCGCTATGTAATTCTGAACTGCTATAATCACAACAGCCGCATGTAGAGCTGCTTGATTCTGGCTATAATGAGAATCATAATTTTTTGCTTAAAATCAAGATTATGATTTTCTCATGATTCTATGGATGTAAAATAAAGGTTAATATGAGTAGTCTATTGTTATTTCTCGAACATATGGTAAAACAACAATAATAATATTATGTGTATCTACTGTTGGTTAAAATACTCAATTTTGAATCGACTTTGAATGGTGGACATAAATAGACTTTAAATTTGTCCTGGTCATTAATGCACAGAATATTCATAATTCTAAACTTTAATTATTATGTTTGAGACATATGCTTGCCATTTGTCATTGACAACATTATTAGAGAATTTTTTTCTACTGGTAAAATCAGACATTTGTCATTATCAGATTGCTTCTTGCATTATATTCAACATTATATAGGCTAGAGTAGTTATACTAACACTGTTAAACATTTATTATCATGCACAACACTATGTGTTCCCTATGAAAGAAAAACACTTTAAATGCTTGTAATCATAACTCTAAAATGCGATATGATTATTTAAATGACGTGCGTGCTTTTGGTTTCATTTTCACTGCCAAGTGCTATTCATACTTCCTGCGCGGCTCCCAAACGATCACTCTGTGCCACAAACTGAATGTTATTTACAACTTTATTACTTGTTATTCAGAGTCTATGCAGGTTCTGTTCACTAAAGTAGATGCTCGTGCGTCTATTATTAAGTAGTGTGCGCGCCCACCCTATCTGTGGTAACAGCTCACGGTCAGCAGCTCACGTCACGTGTGATTTTGCAGTTACGAATACATCTTTACATTAAGACAGAATTTATTTTTTTGGGTGAATTATATCTAATACAGTATGTGACTCTTTTAACACCATTTGGAGTTTTCCATGTCCATGCCCAATGTGAATACTTTTGCGGCCCCCTTTGCTTCTCTCCTGAACTTGAAAATATGATTGGCAGAATTGTAGAAATGCTGGATTAAGATCGTCCAGGGGGTCGAATCGAGATCGCGATCTTTTTTCGATTAATCTAGCCGCATGGTGTCAGTAAGCACTCTTATGTATGTGTGTGTGTACTGCAAACATCATTTGTGTGTGACTCATTGCAGAAAGGCTTGAATAGACTCCACCGGAAAATACATTAAATAAACTTGTTGGTATTTCTGACAAGTGACCTTATTTCAGCTTTATCCGTGTCTGTCTCTATCACTGACAGCTGTTTATCAGATTCTACAATAAATAATAAATAATCTGATGGGTATTTTGAGCTGAAACTTTACAGACACATATTGGAGAAACCAATGTCTTATATCTTGTAAAAGGGGTAAAATAGGCACCCTTTACATTTTGTTTATACTGTGCTTCAGAATATGTCATAACATGCCTTAAAATCACTTTTTTAAACTCCTGTTTGTATGTCTTGTTGACGACTAATCAATGACATCATAATTTAGGATATTGTAGGTTGTTCTCCAATTTTATCGTATACTCTGTCAAAATAGGGAAGAAAGGATCTGTATGAACTTCAATTACACCACAACTTTAATTTAATGAAATAGTTTGTAAATAATCTACTGTGTTTCTTTTTTAGGCCCTGGGCCATATCCAGGGGTGCTGGACCTATGGGGAGGAGGTGGTGGATTGATTGAATATCGTTCTGCTCTGCTTGCATCTCATGGTTTTGCATGTATGGCCCTTGAATACATCTCTCCAGGAGAGCTGAAAAAGACTGACGTTGATAATACATACTTTGAGGTAAATTTTATTTTGTCACTTAATATGAACAATTATTACCCATGCATAGTGTATGTTTCTCCAGTTCCAGATATTTATTTTTATTTGTGTGTATGTATGTGCGTGTATCTACACTTTTCCTGTAGAAAGCATACCAGATCTTGCAAAATCATCCATTAGTACAGAAGGACAAGATTGCGATGCTTGGGTTGTGTTTTGGAAGTGTCATCACATTCAGTATGACTGTCTACTCTTCTGTCATCAAGGTTTACTCGCCTAAATATATGTTAAATATATGTACAATATATGTACAGTCTCTACATTTTAAATATAGCTTTTTATTGTTGAATTTACTACATTTTTTTCTAAACATGTACTTTTGCTTGTAGCCCCAGTGCTGCGTGTGTATCAGTGGAAGTCATGTGGTTCCTGTTAATAAATGCATGTTTGAAGTCTTCGAGGACATAAAAAAGTAAGTGGATGTTAAACATTTATTTAAAATCTGTCTACAAACTGAGCTTCATCTATAGAGAGTAATGCTCAATCCTCTCCATATTTTCTTATATTGTGAAAGAGGTTGCAAAGGTCAGCCTTTCAAATGTTTCACAAGTCAGTGCATACTTAATGTGATTATATACGGGATAACTTTTGGAGCAATGTTGCAGAGTGATGTTGTTGGCTACTTTCCTATTGAGAATGGGCAACAAAACTTTATCTGGGTTTGTTATATCAGTTGTATGCAAGTTTTTGAGATCCTTAAATCAGATTTCTAGCAGTAAATCATGTAACTGGCTTGGAGCTGTATAAAAAATTCAAACAGGATGGTCATAACATGAACTCATAGCTTATTATTCCGGTGAGTTGTCCTGTGTTAACAGTTTTTTTAATCTAATTTAATGCTTACAATGCCAACAGTTGTCCAATTTTAAGGTGATTTGATCAATTTAAAGTTTTGTGTTTTTATTTTGTGCTTTCTTATCATGCATTAATTATATTAACATTATCGTTATAATTATTATTATTTGCTAAGCATTATTTTTGCTTTGCTTTTGCTACAATAAATGGTCATCCATTCTTGCATTCGGCTAGTGATAGCTATTTAGAAACATCAAACCTAACTGTAGTGACACAAATGACCATTTTGTCACTTGAGGTGTTGTAGGGTTGTTTCTGACGCGTGAGAGCTCAACAAACGAATCATCCTCCAAATACTGCTTATCAGATTTATTTTTTGCACAGACAGTTCTTATGGTTCAATTTCCACTCACAGTCTGATATATAAATGCTCATAAAATCACATTGAATGCCTCAATAAAGCTCTTTCAAACACGGTCAAAAAATGTTGTGCTTCCCTCTAATTACACACCTGTTGTTCTAAGTCTTTGTCTACCTATATACTCCTCCAAACCCCCACTCCACCCAGTGGTCAAAAACAGCATTACAAAACATAATGGCTCTTACACCCCGGCCCCTAATTGTACATGGCAGGTAGACATAACAATTCAACAATGTACATACAAAGAGCCATTAAAGCAACACTATAAACATTGCATTAATCAATTCTGTGTAGGTGTCAAATTTAACAGTCTTTACCATCAGTCCATTATATTTCCATGTTGTCATACAACAGACAAAGTTTTGTCACGGGTCTCTCAAGTATACTGGTTTTAGTTTGTACTCGCACAGAACGAACAAGTCCATTTTTATCTGGAAAAACCTCCAGAATTCGCCCCAATAACCAAGACCCTCGAGGGGCAGACGAGTCCACAATGACAACAATGTCACCAGGAACAAAGTTTCTCCTTTCCTTATTCCATTTCTGCCGATCTTGAAGCAAAGGCAAATATTCATTTGTCCATCTTTTCCAGAATAAGTCACACATATACTGGACCTGTTTCCATCTCCTCTTGCTGTATAATTCAGATTTTTCAAATAATCCAGGTGGTAATACTGGTTTACCTTTCATCTGAAGAAGATGGTTTGGAGTAAGTGGCTCCAAATCATTCGGGTCATCTGACAACTTAGTTATTGGGCGATCATTTAGAATGGCCTCAATTTCACATAGTACAGTATGGAATCCTTCATCATCCAAAATCTGCTGATGTAGGATGGAATTCAAAATTCTTTTGACCATTCTGATTACACGTTCCCAGATTCCACCATAATGCGAACCTCCTGGAGGATTGAAACTCCACTGGACACCTTTCTGGAGCATTGCCCTTTGAATCTTGTTTTGATTCCATGATCTCAGTGATTCCTTTAATTCCTTTTCTGCGGCAACAAAGTTGGTACCATTATCTGATCTAATTTGAGTTACTTGCCCTCGTCTGCAGATAAATCTTCGAAGAGTGTTAATACATGAATCAGTGTCCAATGAGTAGGCGACTTCCAGATGAACTGCTCGACTTGCCATGCAAGTAAAGATGACTCCGTAACGTTTTACAATGGAGCGTCCTCTTTTAACTTCCACAGGACCAAAATAATCCACCCCAACATTCGAAAATGGAGGCAAATCGGGAAGGAGTCGTTCCTTTGGCAAGTCTGCCATCTTCTGCTCACCCACCTTAACTCCAAAACGTCTACAATGGCCACAACTCGATATAATCCTTCTGGCAGCTGCATTACCCTTAATGATCCAATATCTTTTCCTCAGCTCTGAAAGCATATAATTTCTTCCACTGTGACCTAACTGTTGGTGTATATGACGCAAGATGAGCGTGGCAATATGCTGATCCTTAGCCAGAATGATCGGATGCTTTCTTTCTTCCGGCATAGCAGAATTTCTCAATCGTCCTCCTACTCTCAAAATACCGTCTTGATAGACGGGATCCAATTTATACAGCTTGCTGTCTCGGCTTATTTTTGAAACAGGTGAAACTGACAGAGCATCGATTTCCTTTTTAAACTGTTGCCTTTGACTGAATGCAACAATAGCTACTTCAGCTTCATTCACATCCTGCAAACTTAAATTTGGTGTAACCACAGAACCAGTTAGTTTTCGAAGTTCTTTCTCCGTCTTTTTAGAAGTTACTCCAGAAGAGTCTAAAGAGGCTTGAATTTCCTTTCTCTTTTGACTTCGCTGTTTCAGAACTGTCTTTAATTTCAAGAGCCAAGCAACAGCAACCTTCAACTTTGTCCAGTCTGAGAAATGAGTAATCAGCCTATGAGTAGCATTTGACTGTTCACTTACAAGAGTGCTATTTACACATATGTTCCTCTTGACTTCAGGATCATCTGCTTTAAGAGCAGAATCAAATATTTGTGCTGGCCATTCTTCCACTGGTTTCCACAGATAACTTGGTCCATTGATCCATTCTCTGTTTGTTAACAGCTGATCTGCTTTCAGACCTCTGGAGCAACAGTCTGCTGGATTTTGAGTCGTAGGTATGTATCGCCACTGTAATGGTGTTGTAATTTCTCTTATTGCAGAGATCCTGTTGGCGACAAAGGTAAGAAAACGTTTGTCCTCATTTTTTATGTATTTCAACACGGACGTACTATCTGTCCAGAATACTGAATCAACCAATGGAAACTGCATCTCTGCCCTTAACATTTTGTCCACTCGAGCAGCAAGCACAGCAGCTGTCAATTCAAGACGTGGAATAGTTACTGATTTCAAAGGTGCTACTCTAGCTTTACTGAGTAGGAATGTTACGTGAACATCATGTTTTGTCTCCATCCTAAGGTACGTCACAGTGCCATATCCAAGTGTACTTGCGTCAGCAAAATGATGCAACTGAACGTTGGTAAGTTCATCCATTCCTGCTGGTTTTAGGCATCTGTCCATCTTGAAATCTGCCATCTTCTCAAGCTCTTTTAACCATAAAGACCACTGCCTTTGGAGATTTGAGGGTAGCAGATCATCCCATCCACATCTTATCCTACATAACTCTTGCAGGAGAATTTTTGCTGTAAGAGTGAATGGAGCCAAAAATCCTAAAGGATCATAGACAGAGCATACCTTTGACAGGACACCCCGCCTGGTGCAAGGATGATCTTTGCTAGTTATTTTAAAATTGAAAGTGTCGGATTCAACACACCACCACAAACCAAGAGCTCTTTCCATTGGCAACTGGTCCTTGTCCAGATCCATCATTTTTATGCCCTGGGCTCGGTGTTCTTCAGGTACACTTTGTAGCACAATACGGCTATTGCTGATCCATTTTATTAACTGGAAACCTCCTGCTAAGCAGACATCTGTGAGATCCTTGATCATCAAGACGGCCTCTTCCTCAGAAGGTACACTTTTCAAACAATCATCCATGTAGAAGTTTGTGTGAATTGTGTCAATTACCTTTTCAGGAAAGTCATCTTTGTTGTCCTCAGCAGTTCTACGTAAAGCATAGCAAGCACAACTTGGGGACGACACAGCACCAAACAAATGCACTTTCATCCTGTATTCCACAGAGTCCTGATTGATATCACCATCTGGCCACCATAGGAAACGAAGAAAGTCAGTATCTTCTTCTGCAACTTTAACCTGGTGAAACATTGCTTTTACATCAGCCATAAATGCAATAGGCTCTTGTCGAAACCTCACAAGAACTCCCAACAGTGAATTTGTCAGATTAGGACCCTGCAGAAGCTGATCATTCAATGATGTACCTTTAAAGGCAGCTCCACAATCAAACACCACTCTTAATGTTTGCTTCTTGGGGTGATAAACCCCATGGTGAGGGATATACCAAACTTTCCCTTCATCCTGTTTTAATTGATGTAACGGTACTATTTCGGCATAACCGTGTTTAATTACCTCATCCATGAAATCTTTATATTCTTGATGGAAAATCTTGTTTCTTTCAAATTTCCTTTTCAATCCAATTAAGCGCTGTTTAGCCACACAAAGGTTGTTTGGCAACATGGGAATTTCCATCCTAAAAGGAAGATTCAATTTATAATGTCCATCTTGAAACTCAATTGACTTGCTTACCTTTTCCATAAAGGCATGCTCTTCTCTTGACATTTCCTTCTTTTCAACAGAATTCTCATTAAAGTCATGATTGTATTGTTTACCAAGCATATCCTCCAATTTTCTTACAGAAATCCTGTTAACAGTCACGCCTGAACATTTGACCTTATTCCTGCTTCCTTGGAGTGGTCCATTTACAACCCATCCCAATAGGGTTCTAACTGCATAAGGTCCATCTCCATTGCTGTTTATAACCTCCCAGGGCTCCATTACCCTGGAAGCATTTGCTCCAATCAGCAAATCCACATCAGCAGGAATTTGAGGAATCTCAACACCTTTCAGATATGGCCAATTTTCCAAATCCTTTTGAGTGACAATGTTGTCTCTGGATACAGGCATTCTTTCTTGAGTGAAGACTTCTGGAAGACTATAAAAGGTGTCATCAAGAAGGTTAGACACTTCCAATCCAGTCAAAACAGTGCTATTAACAGCCCTTTGATTGCCCATTGTTTTCAAAACAATATTAGTTTCCTTTCCCTTTAATTTCAAACTATGCATTAAGCGTTCTGAACAAAATGTGGCAGAACTGCCAGGATCCAAAAATGCATAGGTTTGAATTACCGTTTGTCCCTTGCTGGATTTGACTTGAACTGGTACAATTGATAATGCACAGTCTCCATCGTCACCGGCCCCTGTTTGCCCACATGTTGTAAGGGCAACATGTGCACTACTTAAAGATGAATGACTTTGTTCTTGAGTGCACACTCTTTCCTTTTGTTGGATATGCAAAATGCTGGGATGCTTTTGACCACACACTGTACAAGTCAAGCGCTTATCACATCTTTTACTTATGTGTCCAAAAGAAAGACAGCCAAAACAAACACCTTTTTCCTTTAGAAAGTTCAATTTGTCTTTATGCAGCTTGTTTTGCATTTGTGTACACTGCTCCAATAAGTGATCACGTTTGCAGCACAAACATACAACTGGGGCCTTTGATCTTAAATCAGTCTCACAGCATTGAATTGATTTATTGTTGGTGACAACCGTTGTTGCAAAGCTGTTTCTAACTTTAGTCTTAGGTTGGAATTTCTGTTGCAGAGGCTGGGTACTCTGGATATCACCAAACAAGGGATCTGATGACATTTTGACTTGACGTTCAACAAATATCACAATATCTTTAAACCGTGCTCTCTGCTTGCGTCTTTCCATTAACTCACATGCAACAGTTCTCCAATTTTCCCTTAATTTGTAAGGCAACTTCATGATGATGGTTTTCAAATTGCTTGGCATCTCTAGCTCTTCCATATAGTCAATTTCTTCCATTACATTACAGCATCCACGCAAAAAGAGAGCATAACTCTGCAATGAATTTACATCCTCAGATTTTATTGAAGGCCATGCCAAAACCTTTTCTACATATGCAGAAGCTATTTTGAATTCATTGCCGTAATGTTCCTTTAACAATGCTTTAGCTTGCACATACCCTCTTTGTGCATCCATATGCTGACAACTGCGCACAATCTCCCTTGGCTGACCTTGTGTATATTGTTCCAGAAAGTATAAACAATCTCTACTATTTTTGGTTTTGTCTTCTATTCCATGCTCAAATGCTCTCATAAAAGTTTTATATTGCAGAGGATTGCCATCAAACACAGGAATATCTCTTTGAGGCAGTGTGCTGGATTGTTGTTGTTGTACAAGCAGGGTGGTAATCTCATTTTGTTTTTGCAAGATATTACAAAGGTTCGAAGTTATTATTCCATCACTGTTCTGCATTACACTTGAGGATTGCATTTGTGACGTGAGATGAGGATCAATTTGTGGCACACTGTGAATTTGCTGAATCACGTTCCTTGAGCTTTCTTGCAGGGGGACTTCTATTGGCACATATGCCTCTGCATGAGGGTTGAGAGTAACAGTTCCTTTATCACAATATGCATTCATATCATCAGTGCAGGTTTTGAGAGACTGATTATTTAAAACAGCAATTTTTGCAGTAGCGGCTGCAATCTCTGCATCAATATCCAGCTGTTCTTGTCTATGTCTCAGCTTTTCTTGTTGTACCTCCAAAGTATGCTTTTCCTTTAAAGCAGCTGCACGCGCCATTAATGCAGCTTTCTCTGCCTCTGCCATGATTCGTGCTGAAGCAGCAGAAGATCTCCCACTACGTACACTGCTTGAACTTTTCTTACTGGACGATTTACTGGATTTACATGAGGATATGTTGGAAATGCTATCATCTGGATTAACATCCTCTTGACATACCCTTGCATCAACACCAGAACATGAAACTTGACTTTCAGCGCTCAACCATTTCTCAACATCATCTACAAACTCATCGCAAATCAACATCTTTCCATTGAACCATGTTTGTTGTTTTTCCTTTTCTTCACTGGGCAAAAGAACCATCACCGAATTGTGCATTTCCTTTGTTTCGTCTCTCAATTTGATGAATTTCTCAAAGGAACACTGCACCTCCTTTTCATATTCTCGGTTGGACATAAAATCCTTTATAATAGCCATTAAGTTCTTTGCCTTGCTTAGTTTACACTTTCGTGTCTTTTGCAGAGTTTCCAATTTTTCCAATAAAGCCTTAGGAGTAAGCTTAATGAGCCGCTTTTCCCTCACATGCTCTGTTTCAAACTTCTCAAATGGCACAATATTCTCTGTCTGTTCACAGGTAGCCGCACCATCATCATCACAATTCATTAAACTCATATTCACAGCTGAAATCGTTTGCCTCCTAAGCAACTTTAAAACTTAAGCAACCAATGCATTGGATTTACGCTATTGTGTGCACACAAAGTCATTCATTAAGTAGCGCTACACATACCTTTGTTTCATTCATTCAGTTCATCACGGCTGCTCCTCAAGAAAGTCCAAAAATGATGCATGATGATCCACAAAGAAGCCATTTTTTGACAAATGTAGTGACACAAATGACCATTTTGTCACTTGAGGTGTTGTAGGGTTGTTTCTGACGCGTGAGAGCTCAACAAACGAATCATCCTCCAAATACTGCTTATCAGATTTATTTTTTGCACAGACAGTTCTTATGGTTCAATTTCCACTCACAGTCTGATATATAAATGCTCATAAAATCACATTGAATGCCTCAATAAAGCTCTTTCAAACACGGTCAAAAAATGTTGTGCTTCCCTCTAATTACACACCTGTTGTTCTAAGTCTTTGTCTACCTATATACTCCTCCAAACCCCCACTCCACCCAGTGGTCAAAAACAGCATTACAAAACATAATGGCTCTTACACTAACAATCAGGGCTTGGAGCAAACTGCTGGAAGCAGATAATAACAATACATTTTGTTAAGCTAAATAGTTGTCCAGTCTTTTACCTGATTGCTTGTTGTATCATCACATGTAAAGACATGTTTGACACGATTTGTTGCCATTTTCAGAGCAACGCAATCCTAATTTTCCGGTTTGCACCATATTGTTTAAATAGTAAATTCATTTGCGCCACTTTGTGGATTCATGGGTGTTGCGGTCTAGACAGGAGGTGTGTTAAGGCGCATTGTTGGTGTGTTGCTGTATTGAGGAACTAAAATAGACTGCACAATTGACCAGCTGAATGCAGGTCTTAAGTCCAGGTTCAAATGCTTACACATTGCTTAATTCACAAATAATGTACAGTAATATAAATTTCAGCAATTATCTTTACAAATGAAAAAGAATTAAGGATTAATATATGGTAAAAAATATTATTTTCTACATAAATATAAAAACTACTATCTCCATGCCTTTGTCTGTTTTTTTTTTCAGTTTATTTATGACAATTTGCTTTTGTATAATGTTATTAGTAGTAGTAGTATTTATTATATGCATATTTATGTGTTTTAATAAAAACAAGTTTATATTTGTCCTGTCAGGTTTTGGAGAAGTCTGCATCATCATATGGGACGTGTGTTTGGATATTACTTTGTTTGGATATTATTATTTTTGACCACAAGTGGATTCGGACATGCCCTTAATGCTTTTGCGCCATGCGATTTAGACTCTACGCCTAGATCGTTAATATAGTGCCCATAGCATTGGCCATTTGATTTGATTGAAGAAAACCAGTCGGAATAGATTAGGCCATCCTTCTAATCAGAGAAGAGTGTACTTTTCTAGATGGAGGGGTTTAGTGAGAGTAAATCATTTGAGACGCTTTCCGAAATTAGTTGAGGCCACATAGTCTATGAGAAAACAAAATGTTTGTTTTAAACATTGAATGCATGTATATCTTTTTAGCAGACCTACAAAACAAAATTAACATTTTTAAAATTATAGCAACAGGCATTTTTAACAATAAGATTTTTGCAATATTTTTACAAAATATAAATAATATTTTGTAATATTTGACTTTATCCACTGTATTAAAATAAGGATATCATATGAGTATTTGGGTTGGTACATATTTGCATATTTTTCTAATGCAATTGAATGTTTTTGTCATGTGTAGTGTTCTTTCACAAAGTAAATAAATCCTTTCATATCAGTGAATGACTGGTCCTAATGATAAACAGTCACACATTTTGTGAATGTTCATTGCAGGCTTATGGGTAAAGTACAAGAGAATGAGGACAAACATATAGTGACCAGAGAAATTATCTTGCCGATTCCCTCAGACCCGGCTCTCAAAGCAGACGTATGTATGACTTTAGTATGTTTTTCTTTTCAGTGTGTTTTCATTTTTTAAATATCAGTTGTGATTTATTTTTTCAGGTTGGGAGAATAAAGTGTCCTCTTTTGTTGGTGAATGGTACTGATGATCAGAATTGGGCTACTAATGAATCTGCTGAAGACGTGAGTTATTTGTATGCTTGTATGAATGTTTGTATGCATGATTTCAGGGTTACCACTTTAAGTCATTTCAAATTCTTTCACTGACCAAAAAGCTGATTTTCCACAAGCTATAATGTTGAGCAGTGCCTCCAGAATTTTTTGATTCTGTGAATGCTAAATGCTGCAATAATTAGAGGACCTTGCCATTTTTATTGATGCCAATTTTGGTCACACTATAGGAAATATCCATTACTAATATTTTTTTTATTTTTGTGATTTGTCTAATGCCCGAAATGCTCAATTGTGTTAAATGCTGTTTTATGTTCAATCAACTTAAATTCATAAAAATGAATAAGTTGACTTAAATCCTTCATGTGTTTCAACACATATTGATTGTGTGGAACCCACCATTTTAAGTGTATAGACTGTTATGTGAACGAGAAGCTGACAACAGAGGTGCGAATCCAAATGCAGGTATATTAATAATAGTCAGCTAAGCAACAATCAACACAGGGGCAAACAGATGTACACAGTAAATCGAGAGTTGTAGTCAAATACACAGGCGAGTCATCAGTACAGGCAGACATCAGACAACATAAACAAACAATCAAGGCGTGAGGGACAAAAACGTGGCAAAGCAAGGTAAGGGAAATGCGTCGTAATGTTTACAAACAGTATAACAAGACTTAGCCAAGAGGTAGTGTCTGTGGTATATTTAAAGTCCATCTAATCAGTCTTCGAGCAGCTCCCAGCTGTGTGTGTGTAATCAATTGTGATCTGGAACAGGTGGGTGTGTGTGTGGTGCATGACTGGAACTTGTAGTCCATATATCAGTGGGTTTGTAGTCATTAAGTGATCAGCCAGGATTAGATCTCTGGTGATTGTGACAATAGACAGTGTATTCACAGTATAGCCTTCATCATATATACACAATTGCAGTTAATCTTTTTTTAAATTCCACACATTAAAATGTCTAATGTTTAATCTGTAATGTTCAATAAACTTTTCAGTAACTATGATCAAACTTTGCAATGACTCCACAAGTCTGTTTTTAAATGTGGCTCTGACTATAATCTTGATTCGACATTGCTGATCCTGCCATGTGACTATATTGTGGATGAACAACATTGCGATATCGATGCTAAAACAATATATTGTGCAGCTAGAATAGTGAGCATTTTCAGTTCATTTATATGGAAGTTGAGCGAGGCAAGAAAGGCATGGCAAAAAGTTGACTTATGCTTCCAAGTGTTTACAGACCTGAATTACAGTGCTGAAATCACTTACATGTAGGCTACTGAGAATGTAATCCTTTACACTTACATTTTCAAAAGCACCTTAAAACATGGATGCCTGTGTGTTTATGCACTGAACATTTCTTGCATGCGTGATAAATGGGTAAACACTCTGTCTTTCACCTGATCAAAACAGGCGTGCTCAGTCGTAAATATGACATGCCCCATGGCAGTGACATTGTAGCTTTGCTAAGTGCAGATTTGATGCTGTAGTAGAAATGTATTATTAGGAGGAGGCTCCTATAATACTTCTCTATAGCTTATCTGTACTGCACTTGCCAGCTGGCCAATCCTACACGCTATACTGCAATATGAATGTAGCATTTATTAACAAATAGTTGTAAATAAAATATTACAATTTAGTAATACACTTTAGTATGGTTCAAAAACTTTTTGCTATAAATTACTATTGTATTTTAGTTGAATGACTGGTGTTTAAGCCTTTGAATCAAAATGTGAAGCAGTCACATAGGTATAGGCAAAAATAAAGCTTTGCACGTCACGGATCACGTGATTATGGCAAAATGACATGGTTCGCTATGGCTCACTGCGAGATGTATCGTGTTTTTTTGATACTTGCTTTGAAGCCTCTATGCACAGTGTCTCATCACTAGGAAATACTACAAAACTTTCCTCGCTATTTGTTTTTCCTACTATAATTGATTTTGTGTTCAATGTAAACAAAAATGTTACAAATGTAAACAAAAATCCCATGTTACGGGATGTGTGAACAATGGCAGAATTACCGCTTTTGGTGAACTAACTCTAGCTGAAACCCATTAAAAGATTTAATCCCTATGACATTTAAGAAAAATGTCAAACCTTTTTCATTGTTTAAGTTAACAGGCTTTCTAAAATGTGTTTTACTTACAAAAAAAGGAGATATACTAATGAATGTTGGCATCCAAAAAATTCTGTTTACCAATTGACTTGCATGTTTACTTTTAAATAACAGTTTAATTGTGTCGTGTCCACACCTATGACATTAATTAGAGCCTTGATATGGTTCATTTACACACAGATTAAGATGATGATGGAGAAAGCAGGAAATCGACACCTGCTGACTGTCTTGACATATCCTGATGCTGGTCATCTGATTGAACCTCCATACACGCCTCACTTCAGAGCAACTAACTTCCTTCTGCATGACATGAAAGTGAAAGGCAAGCATACAATCCATTGTTGCCTTCTGTTTGTATTTTTTTATTTCCACCTTTTTCCTCACATGACGGCTACGATAAATTATGAGCTGCACTTTCAGATTGAGGAATTTTCAATTAAATAAACTAAATCTTTTGAATAATAAGGCTGTTATAATATTTAATATACTATAAGGCTACATTTACAAGATAATGACGTAGCCAAAAATAGAATAGTTTTGCCTTGTGTTTTATACTGTTTTTCATATGCGTAACAACATTGTCAGGATAATCTGCATTTACAAATTTCAAATATCTGCAAAAATGCTGTATTACATATGCCCAACCTGTATTTGCCATTACAATCTTGTTAGTAAACAGTATATGTAAGGAAGTGACTAGTCTGAAGCAGCTCAGGGTATTGGTATGCATTTAGAATTTGCCATTTACATATAAAGCGTCTACACTGTGGGATGTAACATTGGTGAAGTAAATCCCCATACTACATTAGCAAACTCTTGACCAGCAACAATATTACCATATACATCTTCATTGTAATGTATGAATAAATCGCCCTTCCCTTTAAATCAACAAGTACTGTACATGTCAACATACCTAACACATATGTATGATGTCAACATTTACAAAGATTTCCCTATATGGAAGATTTCCTTTACATGGAAAAGACCAGGGCTAAAGTTTCAAAAACTTTCACTTTAAAATCTATTTTATATTGTATGCATTTTCAGTCCCCAAAACGCTGGTAAATTAAAGAGCCCATATTATGGGTTTTTGAAAATTCCCCTCCATGTAGTGTGTAACACAGCTCTAAGTGAAGTGAAGTATCCAGCTAAGGCTTAAATCTGTAAGAATACAGTGTTTAAAACGGTTGATTCATCTATAAAAGAGTTGACTCATAGTGCTTCAAACGAGTCGCCTTGATACCGATTCATTAGGTGTTTCGCCATGACGTACGAACGAAACCAAGTTATTCACGTGCACGCGCAAACCCGGGAGATTTCAAACCTGAGGTCCCGCCCTCTGACGCAGAAACCCAGACACACACACACACACACCCACAAACACACGCACACAAACATGCCGGTCGATTGAAGTCACACTGCAGATGGACATTATCGATTCTCTACCCAGAGATGAAACCTCAGCATTATAACCAAGCAGTTGGAAACTTCTGGAAACTACAGGCTACAAAGAATACTTCATCTGCGTTTGTTAAAGTAAGGATCAGTAAAGAGTTACTTACTAATGGACGTCAGGATGAGTTTCTTCCTCCATTTCTCAAGTGTAAGTACGTGCGATTAAAGTTGCCTCGTTGACTCTAGCTTGCAAATGTATTTAGTTGTGATTTGTTACTTGTAACCGAGTGTACTGTATCAGGTTAACTGGCTATATTCTCTTATCGCGTGCAAAGTCACGTTAAAAACGCGACGCGTGCTGTTTGTTTACGGAGCTCCGTGGTAGAGGTCTGCATTCCCGCGGCTGTCCCCGCGCCAGATTTTTGCGGCGCGGGAATAAATTTCCGAATCAATCGCGGGAGCGGTCGGTAACAGGTTTAATTTGGGACGGGAGCGGGCTGTCTAGCAATATCGTGGATATTGCTATGCGAATGAGACAGAGCTTTGCCTGCCTGTGTGTCTGCTTGGCGCTTGTGTGTATGTGTTAGTGCGCGCGTATGAGAGAGAGAGAGAGAGCGAGCTCTGTCTGGCTGTCTCTGGACTGTTTTGCTGGGTGATTTTCGGTTATGTTCTCCCCCGCTCTTTAGCGGGATCGGGCGCGGCGGGCAGAAAACGGGGCGGTTCGGGCACCGGGACAAGAAATTCTAAATATAAGCGGGAGCGGTCGGGTTCAGGCTAAAACCTGGCGGGTGCGGGCGGAAGCGGGAGCGTTGTCGTCCAGAGGTGTGTGTGTGTTTGTGTGTGTGTGTGGCAGCTAAAATCCACGCCTACACTATGGAGCGCGTATGAACTGTGATTACTTTTATATTGCTGATTAGCTATTGGGCATTTCATTCTCTGACTGAAGGCAGTCGACCAATCGTGACAGGCTGTCATCGGTCCAATCAGCGCAGATTAGCTTCGCGCTAAGGAGGGGTTTGGGAACAAATGAATCACTGGACGATTCATACAGGAGTCGCTGGGATAATTAGGTAAAAATAAATGCAGATTATAAGATCATGAAAGTGTTTTTTGACTTTGCATGCATATTAGACTGTTGTTGGAGACCCTTACAACCAAGATATGACCCTATTTCATGTATAATATGGGCTCTTTAACTGACAAAGTTCATAAAGTTGCCCCTAAGTCCATAATACAGCTGTGGAAAGGCAAATTTTTTGAGTATTTAGGGTTATTGCAACACAATCTCATGGCAATTCGTAACTTTTAGTGGCTAATTCATAAGAATTTGTACAATCTCATTTGTACCATTTAATACGATTTGCTTATCCCCAATGAAGGTTGGGTTTAGGGGTGGGGTTGGATGCCATGCCTCCTTTTTGAAAATATTGTACATTTTTGTATGACTGAATTTGTACGAATTAGCTTCTAAACTGACAAAACTGATATGTCCAGGCTGGACTATTTATGATCTTGCTGCAAGTAATAATACACTTTACTGATTTATATTTTAGAGTTTAAAAAACGTTACTTCCCAAAGTAGTAGTCCCAAAACACTAAGGGCTCTATTTTGACGATCCAGGTGCAAAGTCCAAAGCACAGGGCTCAAAATTATAAAGGGCATGTCAGTATCCACTTTTGCTATTTTAAGGACAAAAAAATCAGCATTGCGCCGCAGCGCTTAATCTAACAGAGTTGTGCTAATTCTCTTAATGAGTTATAGGTGTGTTTTGAGCATAAACCAATCAGAGTCTCATCTCCTATTCCCTTTAAGAGTCAATTGCGTCGCACCATAGCGCACTTGCTATTTACATGACGGACTTTGTAAGTGCAAAAACTGAATGCTTCACTAGCGACAAAAAAAAGGTAAACAGAGCAACTGTCACGTTACAGATTGAAACGGGAACAAAAAGGTGTAGGATCCAAGTGCAGATTTATCAAAGGATCGTGCAGCAAACAGAAAAACACGGTGTCCGGTGTTCAAAAATAACAAAGTAACAAATAAACAGCAAAACAAGAAACTATGACAGAAATCAAGATCAGGAACAGGAACAAGACTCGGGTAACAACAAACTCGCTATAAAAGACTTACTAGATACTGTTGACAAAATAGACAAGAAAGACAAACGACGCAGTGACAAACAGTGGGTAAATGGTTGTATAAATAGTCCAGGAAAGGGCGGAGTGGAGAAGGAACAAGCGGAGGGATGGGAGGGTCAGACCAGGGTGGGTTCTGTGGGGAGGAGCGGGAGGGATGACCCATGGACGATCCCGTAGGAGACACAAGGCAGGGGGTTTTAGGAGAGCCGGCTGGAGAGGCAACTGGACTGGAGCCGGCAGGACTGGAGGCAGCTGGACTGGAGCCGGCGGGACTGGAGGCAGCGGGACTGGAGCCGGCGGGACTGGAGGGCAGCTGGACTGGAGCCAGCAGGACTGGAGGCAGCTGGACTGGAGCCGGCGAGACTGGAGGCAGCGGGACTGGAGGTAGCTGGACTGGGGTCGGCAGAGCACGGAGCCAGGCTGGGGTCGGCAAAGCAAGGAGCCAAGCTGGAGTCGACAGAGCAAAGAGCCAGGCTGGAGTCTGCAGAGCAAGGGGCCGGGCTGGAGTCGGCAGAGCAAGACGTCTGGGAAGTGTCAGCAGAGCAAGAAATCTGGATGGCGTTGGTAAGACCAGAAACTGGGCTGGGACCGGCAGAGCATGGAGCTGGATTGGGACGGCAAGGCAAGACGTCTGGGAGGTGCCGGCAGGGCAAGATGTCTGGATGGCATTGGTAAGGCCAAAAGCCAGACTGGGACTGGCAGGACCAGGAGCCTGGTTGGCGCCGGCAGGGCGAGGAGTCGGACTGGAACCGGCACTGTACTGCACTCTGGGGCTGGAGCCAGCACTGGCGGGCGCACTGAGGCTGGAGCCGACATTGGCGGGCTCTCTGGGGCATGGGCAGTCCTCCTCCTGCGCCTCCCTCGTCTGGTGGTTTGAGTAAGAGGAAGAGAGTTGTCCTCAGAAGAAGGAACATGCTCTGGAGCTGGAACTGACACTGGCGGGCATTGTGGGGCTGGAGCAAACACAGGGGTTTCACACAGTTCAAGAAGACTCTCCAGAGGCTCAGAGAAAGGCGGTCTTTGGACAGCCCGACGCGGACAAGCTCGCAACTCCAACCCAGCTTCTCTCCTTCTTCCCACAGACAAATCTGTGGTCGGTTGTCTTGTTTTATCTGCATGATAAGATCATCTGCTGAAACCATTGTGACTGCGTCATTCTGTCACATTACGGATTGAAACGGGAACAAAAAGATGTAGGATCCAAGTACAGATTTATCAAAGGATCGTGCAGCAAACAGAAAAACAAGGTGTCCAGTGTTCAAAAATAACAAAGTAACAAATTAACAGCAAAACAAGAAACTACGACAGAAATCAAGATCAGGAACAGGAACAAGACTCGGGTAACAACAAACTCGCTATACAAGACTTACTGGATACTGACGACAAGATAGACAAGAAAGACAAACGACGCAGTGACAAACAGTGGGTAAATGGTTGTATAAATAGTCCAGGAAAGGGCCGGAGCGGAGAAGGAACAAGGTGAGGGATGGAAGGGTCAAACCAGGGTGGGTTCCGTTGGTCAGGTGCCATGGCAGGAAGCCACGGTGTAGCCGGAGGGTCAGTCCCAAGTAGTAAAAAAAGGACCACCAGGGAGAAGCGGGAGGGTTGACCCATGGACGATCTTGTAGGAGACACAAGGCAGGGGGTTTTAGGAGAGCCAGCTGGAGAGGCAACTGGACAGGAGCCGGCGGGACTGGAGGCAGCGGGACTGGAGCCGGCGGGACTGGAGGCAGCTGGACTGGAGCCGGCGGGACTGGAGGCAGCTGGACTGGAACCGGCGGGACTGGAGGCAGCTGGCCTGTAGCCGGCGGGACTGGAGGTAGCTGGACTGGGGTCGGCAGAGCAAGGAGCCGTGCTGGGGTCGGCAAAGCAAGGAGCCAAGCTGGAGTCGACAGAGCAAAGAGCCAGGCTGGAGTCTGCAGAGCAAGGGGCCGGGCTGGAGTCGGCAGAGCAAGACGTCTGGGAGGTGTCGGCAGAGCAAGAAATCTGGATGGCGTTGGTAAGACCAGGAACCGGGCTGGGACCGGCAGAACATGGAGCGGACTGGGACCGACAGGGCAAGATGTCTAGGAGGTGCCGGCAGGGCAAGACGTCTGGATGGCGCCGGTAAAGCTAGGAGCCGAACTGGAACCGGCACTGTACTGCGCTCTGGGGCTGAAGCCGACACTGGCGGGCGCTCTGGGGCTGGAGCCGACACTGGCGGGCGCTCTGGGGCTGGAGCCGACACTGGTGGGCGCTCTGGGGCTGGAGCCGACACTGGTGGGCGCTCTGGGGCTGGAGCCGGCACTGGCGGGCGCACTGAGGCTGGAGCCGACACTGGCGGGCTCTCTGGGGCATAGGCAGTCCTCCTCCTGCGCCTCCCTCGTCTGGTGGTTTGAGTAAGAGGAAGAGAGTTGTCCTCAAAAGAAGGAACATGCTCTGGAGCTGGAACCGACACTGGCGCGCATTGTGGGGCTGGAGCAGACACAGGGTTTCACACAGTTCAAGAAGACTCTCCAGAGGCTCAGAGAAAGGCGGTCTTTGGACAGCCTGACGCGGATAAGCCCGCAACTCTAACCCAGCTTCTCTCCTCCTTCCCACAGACAAATCTGCAGGTCCCGAAAATATACCTCTCTGTTGCCCTCCACTCAGGCCTCCCTCCTGAGGGTTCTCCTCCTTCAGGGCAAAGGAGAGAGGGGAGCCAGAGATCAACAGAGCCGTTTTGATGAACCGATCGGGTTCCAGTCTTCCTCATAAGGTGGCATTTGTGAACAGACTGGTTCCAAAAGTCCTCCCCGAAAGAACATCACCAGCAGTATGTCACTGTAAGAGCTCTTTGGGGCTAGCTCCAAAAACTCCTTAACATAACGCACAACTGAGTGGTTGCCTTGTTTTATCTGCACGATAAGATCATCTGCTGAATCCATTGTGACTGCGTCGTTCTGTCACGTTATGGATTGAAACAAGAACAAAAAGATGTAGGATCCAAGTGCAGATTTATTAAAGGATCGTGCAGCAAACAGAAAAACAAGGTGTCCGGTGTTCAAAATTAACAAAGTAACAAATAAACAGCGAAACAAGAAACTACAGCAGAAATCAAGATCAGGAACAAGACTCAAGTAACAACAAACTCGCTATAAAAGACTTACTAGATACTGACGACAAGATAGACAAGAAAGACAAACAACGCAGTGACGAACAGTGGGTAAATGGTTGTATAAATAGTCCAGGAAATCAACAGGAAACAGGAACAGCTGTGAATGGCCAATCAGTGTAAGTGAACCGGGTGTAATGCACGTGGGATGTATGGACTTGTAGTTCTTGGGTGCTGTTGTTCACTCTCAGAGTTTGTTGAACTAGGTGGTTGCTGACAGTCATGACAGCAATTGCAGCGCGAGAATGAGAGAATAAGCCTCCTCGTTCTTTACTTTCACTTTCAGTCTCGTGGATAAAGAAAATGGTGTTGTACGCACAGACATCCATTAGCCTATACATAATTTTGTTGTTGTGCGCAAAGATTTGTTTCAAAACTATTTCTAAATTCAGTTCTAATTTCCAGCAAACGAATAAATAAACAATAATGACGAAGTGTGGTTAAAAAAAGTATATCCAAATACACATGCTATGTCCCATATGGTCTAAAACCTGACAGGTGGGCAAATCTAAGCTAGTTTTTAATAAAACAAACATAAATATGCATATAATAAATAATACTGCTAATAATAATAACGTTATACAAAAGCTATTTGTCTTGAATAAACTGAAAAAGCCCCGCAAAGGAGGCAGTGGTGTTTATATTTTTGTAGGCTAGAAAATAATATTTTTGTTATATTATAATCCTTAAATTCTTTTTCATTCGTAAAGATATTTGTGTATGGCTGTACATCTTGTGTGTATTAAGCAATGTTTAAGCGAGGCGCACAACTAACGTGCTCTGCGCTACACTTTAGAACTCCTCTTAGCTGGTCTTTTAAACAGTCTATTCTAGTTTCTCAAAATAGCAATGTGCCAGCAATGCGCCTCAACACACCTCCTTTTTTAGACCAGATCACATATAGGCACACATATGAGCACAAATGCACTTGCTATTTAAACAGCGTGGTGCAAACCTTCAAAATGACTCTCGTGTCGAGCTGAAACTAGCAAACAACAATTGTCTTGCGCCGCACTGAGCCAGATGTGTGATGGGTACCTAAGAGTTTCTTTCTTCTGTAAAACACAAATTGCACTGAACAATTAATTTGTGAATTGGAATGACATCTTTTTATGAGTCAACAACGCACTAATTCAAATGATTTATTCAGAACGGGTCACTGGTAAATGATTTACAGATTCAAATGATATGTTAAGAGTGAGTCTCCAGTCAAGGATTCACTCATTCAATTGAAACATACAGAGTGAGTCTCCAGTAAATGATTCACTGACTGAAATGATCTGTACAGAGTGAGCTCCAAGTAAAATATTCACTGATTCTGATTCACTGATTCACTGATTCTGATTCACTGATTCACCTGTACTGAGTGAGTTTCCAATAAAAAAACACATTTTCAAAATGATATGTACAGAGTGTCTAAATAGTGTTGTAAATAATTAATTGAATTTACAAACTGATTTGAGTGGGTTTCAGCATGTGAATGTGGTTTCACTTGTTTTCATTTAATGTCTAACTTTAATTAGTAAATTTAAAATTAAGTACTTTTGTACTTTGACTAGTGTATTATTGTATAGGAGGACTTTATTTCAACTGGAGTAATATTTTATTTGGGTATTTGTACTTAATTTGTGTAATTTGTGTATTTTGTCTACCACTGCATTTCTAAGAATATAATCTATTGTGTAAAACAGAATAAAGACACGCATACTGTTTTTAAACGTGGAGAGTAAATAATGTACACTATCATTTTGTTAGTGATGCACCTTTTAAATATTCTCAAATGTGCCTGTATCTGTGAATGTACATCTGAATGTTGTTTTGTTGTTTCTGCAGTTGTCATGCTGTGGGGTGGACAAACTAAACCACATGCGTACGCTCAAGAGGACTCATGGAAAAAGATTTTAGCATTTTTTCAAGAGCACCTCTACGGTTCAAACGTTAAGGCCAAACTTTAGTTCCTTTATTTGAAACTGATATATGACCAACTTCATTCAAAATGCTATTAAATGCAATGATGTTGCTGCCAGTTCTTTCATGTTACATTTCACTTTGGTATTTGTACTGAATAAAAGGGGATCTTAAGTATATTTTTTAAGTAATACTTTTGTAGCAGACACATGCCATAATGCATTATTAATGAATGTAATAATTATAAATATAAATAAATAAATGAATACTGACATGGTTATGGTGACACTGCCAAGTAAATGTATTAGATTTTTTTTTTGTAAAGAAAAACACTTAAGATCATTTTGACACACTATGTTTTCTTATTTTGTAACCACAATCTACCTCTGGTTAAAATAAAAGCATAAATTTAGATTATTTTATCAAATTTTGTTGGACTTTTTTGTTAAAAACAATAATGTTTATTGTCTAAATTGAGTATAACGTGTGTTTTAAACAGGAAATTATGTATGCAATCCAGAAGATTTGAAATCATTTGGATGAATTTTTAAGTACCTGCAATAATAAAAGTATGATTTATTTGTATTGATAGTGAATCGCTGAATTAATGACTGTCATGGTATTTTTGGATGTAATTAACTATTGAATAATTAACCTGTATGAGTTGCAAATACAATGAATTTGCTAATTTCCTAATTGATACAATAATAATATCAATAAGGCAATCAACCAAGTTTTGATGACATCAGACAGGTCGAACCACAACTTAAGTCAAGGAAATTGATGGTAAAATTTTGAAAGAGATCATACAGATTATGAAAACGTTAACCTGCAGTCTTGACACACTCCACACATCGTTCTTCAAAATGATTTAATTGTTTACAAGTAGATCTCCTAAAAGCGGTAAATGCTTAATTTCTTTCTTGGACTTTATTAATGTTGGAATCTTCAGTCAATTCCATGCTTGTTCAATAAAAAAAGGTCAGGAGAGGTTTTTCTTCAATGTCAAAAGTTGTAACAACTTATTGGATTCAAATGAATAATTCGATTTTCAGAATTCTGTTATCCTCTATGAAATGCAAAAGTTACATTCAGGAGGTGCGCAACAACTTTCATTTCCTGACTTCAACTTTTCTATGCAGCTGATATTAACAGGTGGAGTTTGTGAAATTCATCATTTGTCCATCATTCTCAAGTCCTCCATTGGCTGCACCCTTCCATACATACCTTTTATTTCTACAAATTCTCTGCACAACATTAAAAGCATAAGACTTTCTGTGTTCAGTGTTCAGTTTTAACACCTTTCTGCTGACAGGAAGTTTCTGCAGAGCTGAATTTAATTTTGGACCAGCATTTATCTACTCTGCAAAAAATTTTCATTAATATGCAAAACATATCAGACTCGAGAAAAACTTCAGTTAACATATGACCTTTAAAAGACCAATTCAATTAATTGTTTAATAAAAAGAAAAAAAAGCGACAAAATTATATAAAAGTATATATATATTCCTCTTTCCCAAGACCAAACTGCTGATGTTATACCTCCCTTGAAAAAGAGCAACCTGGATAACACCACGTTGAGCAACTACAGACCCATTTCAAATCTTCCTGTCATTGGCAAAATTATTGAAAAGGTTGTTTTTAACCAGGTTAACCAGGACACATGAGAATGCCATTTGTGTGGCTATTTCCTAGCAAGACTGAAACCTGAAATCTGTCAAGGAGTGAAAGACATCTGTGCGAACTGGAGAAATTGACAGTTAACAGACATTCTGCTGTGCGCTCAACAGCTCCGCTGACCTGTGAGACAGAGGGGGGCAAAGTTTTCAACCACGCATTTGTTTGTTCACCAAAAGATCCCGTACCTCTCCTTGGAAAGAATATTTTGTGTGAATTAAACTTAGTTCTAACAGCAGACTCCTCAGGTGTGAGAGTGGAGGAAGTTTGTTGAGGGTTGAATCACGGACACCACAATGGGCTTATAAATGGCTCATTGAAAACATTGAATGGGTTGATTTAATTTGAAAATTGGCTAAAGAACGAGTAAAACCTTTCGACATTGACAATGTCTCCTGGTAAACTGCATTCTACGTCACATGTCGCGACTAATACAGATGAAGGGTTTAAAAAAGCGTGGTTTGAGACAGAAGTGAATAAACCTTTAATGTTAGAACAGCTGTATCGGACAAAGTTTGTGTGCAGTTTCAGTGTCTCTGACAGAAAAACACCGCTAATTTTATCTCATGTCAGAACGGGTTGTACCTCACTTATCAGTTTGCAAAGGTAAACGTCAGTCTTGGTCTGAGTTGGGCTAGTTTGTGAAATTATGCGTTAAAGCAGCAGACTGGGAGAGCAGAGAAGGTGGGGTAGGATGAAGCGAGCACTTGAAATCATTGAAATAGCTGTATCAAGAACTCCTAATGACAAACTTTGTGTGCAGAATCCTTGCATGGCTGACTTTAATGCAGTAGACATTCACCGGGCTTTAGCAGAAGTGCCAAATGAATAGTGGGCTAAATGCAAACAGTGAGAGACCTATCCCTGATCTATAAGCACAGGGAAGCGGCTCTCTCATTCACCAGGGATACCTACAACACATGGCAGCTGAGCTGGGAAGTTATAAGCAAGCCCACACCAGACCGCTGCTTCTCAACCAAGGGCAACTCCAAAATAGAAAAGGGTCCAGCCAATCTTGAGAAGTTGAGTACTAGAGGCTAAACGGTCTGTGGGAAGGTGAGCTCTAGTTGGTACTGTTCAATTTACTGCACAAGTTCAGACTCCATCCCTCCAGTGACGTGGCACACACTGTCCTATACTCTCAGAAATAAAGGTACATAAAAGGTCCATATTAATACCTCAAGGGTACATAATAGTACCTAAAAAGTACAAAAGTGTTCCTCTTCAAATTGGTAGGTGCTAATATAAACTTTTGAGGTACCAGTATGGACCCTTTAAGTACAAATGTGTACCCTTTGAAATGATACCACCCCAGTGACAGCTTGCATACCTTTATTTCTGAGTGTAGGAGCCAGTTTCCATATGCAAAAACCTGGTAATCGTCTTCGATCACTGCCCAATCCACACTGCACTGGACCCATTTGGCTCCTCCTACTGGTTGTGGGTTTTACAGAAACATGGTCCTATATGTCCCTCTGTTATGTTACTACCTTGGGAAACCCTACTAAGGGGCATTTAGCCACAGATAACACAGCTCCTATGATCATTCGGCACTCAAACCCCTCCACTATGGTAAGATTCAAGAATCAAGTGTAAATTTAATCTAAAAATAATCATTGATATGGCAAAAAGTGCTTTCTTTTGTCCTCATTTCTAGTAACGTGTAACAAAGTTTCAGTTTTAAATGCAGACGGAGGACTTATAAAGTTTGTTGTTCTGATCTGAAATGTTACAAGTAAAACAGTTTATTACATTTGCAGTTATTTGTAAAAGTCTCTATAGAAGTACTGTGAAATGTCATGTTGTCTAAAACATTCGCTATACATTTTGGTAAAAGAAAAGCTCAGTTTGGTGTTAAATTTCATAAATAAGTGTTTATATTTCATAGAAGAGATGTTTTTCCTAGCTATGTGCCACATGGTGCAGGAGGGTACAAACAGAGGAGTCATGTAGCTGGGAGGGAGAAAGGACTCTGTGTGACATAACCACCAGCCTAATCGACTGGAAATTGTTTTTGATATAAGTCACAAGCAGATGGCAGTAATACACTGAAAAGTGCAGTATGTCAAAAAATTGAAAAAAAAAAACCGGAACAGGTCGGGATCATGAGTGGGACAAGAAGAGTTTTATTACTCAAAAGCATAAATATTTTGTTTTAAGTGTGGGACAATATGTTGTCATTTAATAATTTTTATATCCATTGAAATGTATGCAATTTACGCATTATCTTTGTGGTTGTTGGAGCTTGTGTTGCAATAAATGTAATTGTCTTCCCTTTAAAATGACATGCTAAATTAGAATTTTAGTAGTGTATCGGACTTTACATTCTTTAAATTAAAAAAATGTATGCCCTGGCTTCAAAAAGTTATAAAGGACATTCACTGCTGTGATGAATGACATTCTGTGTCAAAGGTAACATTTCATCATCAGCATTAGTCCATGGTGAACTGAAAGTCAATATTACTGCGGGTAGTTATTTGAATGACAAGTTAAATGATCTATATTAGTGGTTCTCAAACTGTGGTACGTGTACCACTAGTGGTACGCAGGCTTCCTTCTTGTGGTACGCGGATGAATCAAATATGTAATATGTACATGCTACATATATTTAAAGAAATTATCAAAAATGATTTATATACGAATATGATGACATAAAGCCTATATTTATGAGGTCTAGGCAACATTTCCAGGTGCTAACAAACCAGGAGTTATTTCTTTTTTAAACTGTACAGAGCTTAAGCTGCTTTACTAGACCTAATACGCTACTGTATTTCAAAACTGCTCATTATGGTGGTACTTGCAAAGACAATTTTTTTCCGAGGTGGTACTTGATGAAAAATGTTTGAGAACCACTGATCTATATTAACCTTACATCTTCATATGTAGTTTTAACATTCATTTCCTCAAGGTAAGATTTAAATAGTTTGGATTTAAATAAGATAGATTTCTTTTGACATTTCCCAGTTCCCTCTCCCCAGCTCTTCTTTTAACTGGTGAGATGTAGAGAATGCTGACTGTACTCAAGCTTCATGTTTATTGGACATACTAGACTGTTTTAATTTTGTTCAGCATGTCGACTTTTCAACACATAAAATTGATCACACATTAGACTTGGTATGCTCTTCTGGAGTAAATATCCAACCACACTTATTACGCTGTACACACCACGATCTGACTACTATCTATTGTTTTTAGGAAACTTGCTGATATCAACCCTGACCAGCTCAATCAATACATTGAGGTTTACCCATCACATCCACAGCTGACTAGTGTAATAATGGTTTTAAATCTGTTCTCGACCACATTGCTCCGCTAAAAAGTCAAGAGGTTTTGTCTAAAAGGTCAACCCCTTGGTTTACACAGTAATTATGAAAAATGAAAGCTGCAAACAGGCAATTAAATTAAAAGTAAACCAAATCTGGTTTAGTAATACACAAACAAATGTTTGAGTGAAAAACATTTTTAAAGATATTTTAAGTCATATTCTAAGATACACAGATTTATATTAGTACATCTCCTAGTCTATCGGCCACATTGTTGACACTTAGATTGTTGACAGCCTGAATGCAACAAATCTCAAATTAAATAGCTCCAAGACTGCGATTTTACTAATTTTACTCACTCATTTACTCATTTTACTCTACTGTTAATAGATGTGGTAATCTTATGTTAACAGTTGATGGTTCTCTTCTAACTTCTTCTATGCAGGTACGAAATCTTGGTGTACTTTTTGACGCCTAAAACTCATTTTAAACAAGTAACAAAAAACACATTTTATCACCTGCTCGCATCTATCCTTTTCTCTCAATGATGTTGAAAGGCTAGTTCATGCTTTTATTATTTTTGTAACTCTTTATTAGGGGGTCTACCAGCCAATTTACTTACGATTTTACAATATGTTTAAAACT